TGCTCCCCACTGCAGCATTCCTACACCTCTCACACAATTGCTGCTCTGCCCTTTGGGATTCCAAAGGGATTTTTGYCAAGGACAGAACACATTTCACATTAACCCAGGGGCTCAGGGCCTGGTGGCAGCACTGCAGCAGGAGCAGCACCACTGCACATCCCTTCTCACACCTCTAACTTCTACATAAAAAAAACCCTAAAAAAATACCAATCACAATTAGTTACACTTTCTTCACTTCTAAGATAAACTGAACAAGGTCTGTGAGAAACTGCAGCAGCACTCCGGGCTTTCTTCCAAGACATAAGATGCAGTGAAATTCCCCATCTCTTGAGTCTTTATGCACAGAGRATGAAGTGGGGAGACACTACTGGTTACCAGGAACCTGAGGAGAGTTTTAAATAACCCCTGAACCCAGATGGAATGCACCAGATGATACTGCCAGATTTAGAGAGAGAATCTACAGGAGATGAGAGGAAAAAAAAAACGTGGTTCTTGCTGCTTGGTATGTAATTGAGCCCAGCAGGAACCTGGAAAGGTTTGCAAAGCCTGAGAAAAGCAGCAGAAGAGTTTCAGGCTGCTCCAATGGCCCAGTGAAGAGGCAGGCAGAGGAGCAGGGCTGTGAGCAGAGCTGGTACCCACCTGAGCTCCCTGAGCAGCTGATGGCACCGACTGCCCCTGCGCTGGGCACCCTCCTCTTKGCACAGGAATTCAATGGGCATTTGAAGATTCTTCACTCTCTGCAGCCACAGCTCTGGGGGTGCTTTGTGCACCTGGCTCTCCAGCTCCTCAGCACACACCATGGCAGCCAGCACATCCAGAATCTGCACACACACACACAGGGCCAAGGGCAGCACAACACTGCATGGCACAACCACTGATGGGCTGCTTTGCCACAGCGTGTTCTACTCAATAATGTCCTCCTGGATTATCTTAGGCTCTGCAATTCTCTCTGTTTATGGCTCAGCTCGTTAGTATGTCCTATTAACTAAAGCAAAAACAGGGCAAACTATTTCAAAAGCCATTGGCAGCAAYAGCACAGCAGATCATTCCCAATTCTGATGAACTGAGAAAAAAAAAGCCTGTGCTTCCCCCTCTGAAATGCAAAGGAGACTGAGCAGCAGCTAACTCATCAGACAGAGCTCTCTGCCAGGCTGAGGAGCACAGAATGGGTGACTTTACCATCTCTGAGTGCTGAACTGGACATCTTTCCTTGCTCAGGAGGAAGCCAAGCACACGGGGCTGCACAGCCAGGATCCTGGAGAAGTTCTGCAGGCGGCTCTTGAACTGGCTGTATGCCAGGTGTGCCCAGGGCAGGCAGGGCACCTGCTCCTCTCTCTGGGGGCACTGTGCCACCCACTCCTCGATGCAGGACATGAACGCCATGCGCAGACACTGCAGGGGGGGAACACAGTGAAAAACAAAGGTCAAACTGGACTCCTAAAATTCATTTTGTACTGGCAAAATTCTCTGAAAGATGAGAATCACTGCAAGGACAGCCTTGAAGGTGTCAGTTTATACAGGGGCTSCTCTGAGCAACCCCAGCAGCCACTCAGAGTGCAGAGATCTGCTCTGGGCTCCCCTCCTCTTGGGCTGTCTCACAGGGGCATTTTCTCCAAGGCAGGATTGATTCTGAAGGACACATTCACACGTGTCATTCCCCATCCAAAGAGTTTCCAGCTCCTGTTCCACACACTGACCTGCAGCTCCTCCTGGGAGGACACACTGATGGTCAAGACTATAAAGTCTGTGATGTAGCACTGGAAGAGCCTCTGCCTTTCTTCCTCAGTCAGAGCAGAGATGAATTTTCCTAGGGCAGTTTTCTGGAAGTAATCCACAAACTTCTCAGCATGGCCTGGAAAATGAGGATGCAGAGAAAAGCAGGGTACTGGGAGGAAGCTGGCTTTGACACAGCATCCATCCTAGAGACACTGACACCTAATTAATCACTGATGCATCCAGCACTCCCCTTATCCAGGGCACTAAAGAGGGACTTAGGCCAGGCCTTGTCAGCCCCGCACCAGGGTCGTATTTCTGGAATCTCACCCTGTCATTAACTCTTGGCATCTCCACAGCATTTTGARTGCAAGGGCACAGAATAGGTGAGAAAGATGAATGATGAGCACAAAGAAAAGCTGCCTGCACAGAGCTCTGCTGGCTCCCAGGAGCACAGAGGGACTGAAGGTGACTCCAGTGCCAGCAGTGACACCCCAGAGCTCAAAGGRCACTGGAAGGAGATGCTCAAGCCAGGCTCTCTCACCTTCAGTGTTTTGGATGTACTGAGCCTCCAACCACATCTCTTCCAGGTACTCCTTTATCCTCCAGCTGAAGGGCATCTCATTGCCAGCATCAGCAGACACCATCATGTTGTTCTGCACCAGGATGATCTCTGGCTGAGGGCTGGGGGGTTAAAAGGTCATGAATGCACCAGGCTTTAGTCTGGGAAGCACAGTTCAGACAACAGAGATGAGAGGCTGCAGAAAGCAAAGGAGSTCTAGGAGGGGATGAGAGAAGGGGAGGGACCTGCAGGGCTGGGCCACAGCTCAYCCTGCCAGCTGCAAAGCCCAGGAGCACCAGGGCCAGGCAGGAGG